TATCTTTAGGAGGAAATAAAAATCCGTTATGGCATAATCGCTCTATATTTATGGTGTTTTTTTGAACATACTCAGACTTCCCTCTATTGTTTGTTTCATAGAGAGCACATATCAGATTTTGTGATATCTTATCTGGGGATTTAAACAAAATGTTTATACATGAGTCTATCAAAATCCTTATTTACATGTAAGAAAAAAATACATGCCCAGCTTTGCCCAAGAATTCCCAGAGGGAGAATAGTAGCTTATTGTACTATTCTTACCTATTTTTGGAACACAGCTGAGTGCAGGTAACTGAAACCACAGAAAGCAAAACTATAGATAAGAGTGGACCACTGTATTTTCGAACTTTCCGGAACATAAAACAGTTTCCTCTCGCCTGAGGGAGAGCTATCCAAAAGCTATTGGTATTCTCAAGTACTTTGATGTTCTTGTTACTGTTAAGACTACTGAATAATTTTGAATAATAATACATTCATTAATTATTATCATTGGCCGGGCGCGGTGGTCAAGCCTGTAATCCCAGCACTTTGGAAGGCCGAGACGGGCGGATCACGAGCTCAAGGAATCGAGACCATCCTGGCGAATACAGGTGAAACCCCGTCTCTACTAAAAAATACATAATTTTATATGGGGCCTTCTCCCCGCGACTGGGGTAGTGGGTGGATCGCTTGAGGTCAGGATTCCAAGACCACCTTCTTTATTTCTAATTGTAATGATGCCCTTACACCCCATGGGATGAATTTAGTTTAAATAAAATCAAATTGAAGCATTAGTCAGGAAGATGCTTTTAATCGGTTTTTCTTTAGAATGAACATTTTCATTATTATAGTTTTAAAATGCCTTTTTTATTACTCAGCTCTGTGGCCTTCACTTCTGGACAAAAATTTTTAAATTTTATAAATCTTAAAACTTTAATTTGTGCTTATGGTCCTTAGAATCTTATCATATAGACTTTTGGAATGTTCAGTGCAGACTTTTTACTGTTATTCTCTTGCTACTTTGTTGAATCTGTACAGCATAGCAATTAAGCATGCTCTGTAAAGTTAGGCTACTTGGGTTCATGTCCTGGCTTTGGCACTTGCTAGTTTTTTGGGGTTTTTTTGTTTTGTTTTTGTTTTTTGTTTTTTGGTTTTTGGTTTTTTGGTTTTTTTTTTTTTTTTTTTTTTTTTTTTTTGAGATGGAGTATTGCTATCTCACCCAGGTTGGAGTGCAGCGGCGCCATCTCGGCTCACTTTAATCTCCGCCTCCTGGTTCAAGCAATTCTCCTGCCTTAGCCTCCTGAGTAGCCGGGACCACAGGCATGCATCACCACAGCTGGCTAATTTTTGTATTTTTGTAGAAACAGGGTTTCACCAGGTTGGCCAGGCTGGTCTTGAGCTCCCGACTTCCGGTGATCCACCCACCTCGGCCTCCCAAACTGCTGGAATTACAGGCATGAGCCACCGCACCCAGCCACTTGCTAGTCTTCTAATCCTGGGCCAATTACTTAAGCTTCTATTCCTTGATTTACTTATCTGTAACATGGAAATAGCAATAATAACATTTTGTGAGATTGCTGTGTGAATGAAACGATTTAATACATGATTAGGGCTTAGAACAGCACCTAACACATCATAAGCACTCAATAAATATAGTTGTTAATTTTATTCTCTCAGTCATAAGACTTGTCTTCCTTAGAGTTATATTAATACTGTGTATTCATTTACTTATTTATTTTACCAACAACACTTACTTTCTTAAAGAAAATATGCTGTAAGAAAGCAGATGGGATTAGTTCTGCCTTTTCCCATTTCCGTTTTGGGTTTAAGAGAGTCAGTAAGGCCAGGCACGGTGGCTCACGCCTGTAATCCCAGCACTTTGGGATGTCAAGGTGGGTGGATCGCTTGAGGTCAGGATTCCAAGACCAGCCTGGGCAACATGGCGAAACCCCATCTCAAAAAAAAAAAGGCCAGTCAGAAAGATGGCAGCCCTCTTTTCCCCTTCTGGGTTTTGAATCTGAATGACAGACTAAGAAGAATTAAGCAGATGCAGATATAAATATCTACTTCAGGCCGTGCATGGTGACTCACACCTGTAATCCCAGCCCTTTGGAAGCCAAGGCAGGAGGATCATTTAGGGCCATGAGTTCAAGGTTAGCCTGGGAAACATAGTGAGACCCCATCTCTACACCAAAAAAATTAACCGGGTGTTGTGGTGCACACTGTAGTCCCAGCTACTCGGGATGCTGAGGCGGGAGGATTGCTTGAGCCCAGGAGACCAACGCTGCAGTAGTCAAGATTGTGCCACCACACTCCAACCTGGGCAACAGAGGGAGACCCTGTCTCAAATAAATAAATAAATGTCTCAGATAAATAAATGTCTACTTCATTTTTGGTAAAGATGAATTGGAAAACCTCCTGTGATCTGCAGCCATAATCAGGTTGCCCAATAGTTTCTCTTAAATCAAGATTTTGGAACAACCTGCCTGAGGGCATACTTGGATCTAGAGAGGAGACCTACTTGCCCAGAATTGGTTTCTTGTACATTTTTAGGCCACAGGATCTGAAAGAGAACTGGGTTTTCAGGCCTGCCCCCAGAAAGCGTGAGCTTCTCTGTGCTTACCATGTTAGTACAGGAACTGAACAAAGCCTGAACCTATTGCTAGTGAGGAGACAAGAATTGAGGAGACTAGCCTGGCTGAGAGGAGCCTGCTTGGTTATTCCTCCCAGCCTCCTGCAGGCACCTTCACATTCTCTGGGAGTTTAGTAGATGCAGAGAAGGAAAAAGTGTTTCCACCTTACTTTTTCCTTCTAAGAAAGAGATGTAAATGTTTCCCCATAGCAGTTTACTGCTAATAACATTACCTGATCTTTTTAGGTGTTGAAATGAAAAATCTCCTCAATGCTTAATGAGATTTTTAGCATGAGAACTTTGGAGTTCATGTCTTTAATCTTTTAAGAAATCATCTATAAAAGATCTTATAGAAGGTTTGTCACATGGGTTCCATGGTGTGACAGGACCCCTTTATTAAACATTTTAGAAATAGACGTTCTTAATAAATATATTTTTTTCTTACTAAATATGTGTATATCTATAAGAACACCCTTGAGATCATCTTAAGGCGCAGTGGCTCACGCCTATAATCCTAGCTTTGGGAGGCCGAGGTGGGCAGATCTCTTGAAGCCAGAAGTTCAACACCAGCCTGGCCAACATGGTGAAACCTTGTCTCTACTAAAAATACAAAAATTGGCTGGGCATGGTGGTACATGCCTGTAGTCCCAGCTACTTGGAAGGCTAAGGCATGAGAATCACTTGAACCCAGGAGGCAGAGGTTACAGTGACCCGAGATCATGCCACTGCACTCCAGGCTGGGCAATAGAGCGAGGCCCTGTCTCAGAAAAATAAAGAAAGAAAAATATTTCTCTTGAGTTCCTATAATAACATTTTTATTGGGTTATAGCTTGCTTGCTTTCTAAGAATATCCAAGCCCGAGAATTACATCCTAGCAGATTGTGAATTATCTTATACTATGTTAATTTTAAAAACATAAAGGATTATTTTTAAAATTTTATCCACAGCTTGCAGTTGCAAACAACAGGATCATTACCTTACAAGAAGAAATGGAACGAGTTAAAGAGGAAAGTTCCTACATACTGGAATCCAATCGGAAGGTTAATCTTACTGGATTTATAAAATATTCATTGAGAGCATGTCAACTTGTTAGTGGTAAAGGGGAGTCTCTAAAGGACTATTTTAATCAGCTGGCCTGTATCAAGTACACTTTTTATTTAGACTCCATGCATGTGTGATGAAGGTTGTGGGAGGGTTATGCGCCTTTTCCTACAAGATGCTTCTTGGCTTCACAGCCACCTATATCTGTTTAGAGACTTCACAAAACAGTCTAGTTCCGTTTCTTGTTTTTATGTACTAATGATTCATACAGTATTTAACAATTTGTTATGTTAAATATACTATTACTTTTACACCATGTTACTGTTTTATAAGAAGTGACACCTCATTTATATATCACTGGGAAAGAGCTACCATATAAATGTAATTTCTAGATAACTTAATTCCTTAAAGCACCAAACTTTTTATACATGTCATTTTCTAGATAACTTAATTCCTTAAAGCACCAAACTTTTTATACATGTCTGATTAGAATTTTGTAAACCTTTATGTTTTGTACAATTCCGAGCCTTCTTAATTAAGGACATAATTTAATACATTTAGCCTTTTATGATGACTGAGGATCATAATTACCAACATTGACAATTCTCTGCTAAATTATAATAGTGCCACTTTAGGAGGCTATTGAAATTGATAGAGCTTCTGACACCTACACTTAAATATTCCCCGATTTCTGTGGATGGTTTTTTCCCCTATCTTTTTTGTATTCACTAGCATCTCTTACTTTTTATTGATGCTTAGTGTTGTTATCTCTAGGATGATCTCTCTACTTCCTTTTATCTTCCTGCTTCTAATCTACTGTCCCTAGGAATTCAAATCCATAGTTATTAAAATTGTTCTTAAAGAGTTACTAGGCTCTGTGAGGGGACAAAAGCAGTTTTCCATGAGTAAAGTGATTGACTTTAATGCATGGACTTCATGACTGCTCAGAATAATTTTTTTATGACTTGCTTGTTTTTATCTGTGATCTCGCTGGATAGTTGAAGATACGAGTTGTGAATTCTCTGGAGATTGAATGTATTAACATTTAAACCTATAGCCCCTGGGCTGGGTTCAGTGGCTCACGCCTGTAATCCCAGCACTTTGGGAGGCCAAGGAGGGCAGATCACTTGAGGTCGGGAGTTCGAGACCAGCCTGGCCAACATAGTGAAACCTCGTCTCTACCAAAAATACAAAAATTAGCCAGGCGTGGTGGCACACGCCTGTAATCCCAGCTACTCGGGAAGCTGAGACAGGAGAATCACTTGAACCCAGGAGGTGGAGGTTGCAGTGAGCAAAGATTGAGCCTCTGCACTCCAGCCTGGGCGACAGAGTGAGACTCCATCTCAGAAAAGAAAAAAGAAAAACCTATAACCCAACTCTTATTTTGAAATGAATACTATGTCATTTTTAGAGGCTGATTTTTAAAACTTCTACCATCTGGTTTGATAACCTATTTTAGGATTTTAAATAAAGTGTCAGGAAACCCCCAATTCAGCTTAACCTTTAAAAATATACTAGACGGCCGGGCGCGGTGGCTCAAGCCTGTAATCCCAGCACTTTGGGAGGCCGAGACGGGCGGATCACGAGGTCAGGAGATCGAGACCATCCTGGCTAACACGGTGAAACCCCGTCTCTACTAAAAAAATACAAAAAACTAGCCGGGCGAGGTGGCGGGCGCCTGTAGTCCCAGCTACTCGGGAGGCTGAGGCAGGAGAATGGCGTAAACCCGGGAGGCGGAGCTTGCAGTGAGCTGAGATCCGGCCACTGCACTCCAGCCTGGGCGACAGAGCGAGACTCCGTCTCAAAAAAAAAAAAAAAAAAAAATATACTAGACTTCTTCAATTTCTTTGTTGTGTTTGTTCATTATTATACCTGCTTCAGTATGATCTTTTTTCTTACTAAGTAGCAGTGTTAATGTCTATTAATTCTGTATAGATCAAATCCTTAAATATGTACAATGTTATTTATCTTTTCGAGGGTCCCAAGCAAGACAGAACTGCAGAAGGGCAAGCACTAAGTGAAGCAAGAAAGCATTTAAAAGAAGAGACACAATTACGATTGGTAAACTTTGCTTAATTTCTAATAGTTCAGGAATATATTAAAAGGTAACTGCCCACTTACACGTTTTATCATACAGACTAAGATTAGAAATATCAGTAGTGTTCTAAAAAACTATAGATCCTATAAAATGGTTTATCTCTTTTTAAACCACATTCCTTATCATATTTTCTCAATCTTTTTCTGAGTATTCTCAACAATAAGATTTTGTTAATTTTTATTTTTTTGCTTTTGTAGTTTGTATTACAACACAGGACCTACTTTTTTAAACTATGCAGTCTCAATCCTACCTAAGTCCTCATCCCTGCAAAGATTCTTGGAGTGGTGGCTCCTCTTTTCTTTACAAAGAATCGTTAATGTAGGATTACTCTATTTTATTTTTAGCTGTTATTTCTGATTTATTATGGTCTTAGATATAAATGGAAAACTTATCATCCAGTATTAGTCTTAAGATTTTTTAGAAATTAAAAAAAATACATATAAATATATAGTTAGAGAGTATATCACCTCACTCTAATCAGAATGGCAACTATCAAATTGAAAGATAAGTGTTGACAAGGATGTAGAGAAAGAACCTTTACACGCTGCTGGTGAAAATATAAATTAGTATAGCTACTATGTAAAACAGTATGAAGGTTGTCTTAAAAAATTAAAAATCGGGCCAGGCACAGTGGCTAACACCTGTAATCCCAACACTTTGGGAGGCCGGGCAAATGGATCACATGAGGTCAGGAGTTCGAGACCAGCATGACCAGCATGGTGAAACCCTGTCTCTACTAAAAATACAAAAAAAAAAGCCAGGCATGGTGGTATGCACCTGTAATCCCAGGTACTTGGGAGGCTGAGGCAGGAGAATTGCTTGAACCTGGGAGGCAGAGGCTGCAGTGAGCCAAGATTGTATCCCTGCACTCCATCCTGGGTGACAGAGCCAGACTCTGTCTGAAAAAATAAAAAATTAATTAATTAAAAATCAGTCTAGCATATGATCCAGCAATCCCACTACTGGGTATATATCCAAAGGAAATGAAATCAGTATGTCAAAGAGAATCTGCACTCCTATGTTTATTGCAGCATTATTCACAGTAGCCAAGATATGGTATCAACCTAAGTGTTCATCAACACGTGAATGGATAAAGAAAGCATGGTACATAAACACAATGTGATGCTATTCAGCAATAAAAAAGAATGAAATCCTGTCATTTGTGACAACATGGGTGAACCTGGAGGACGTTATGTGAAGTGTAATAAGCTAAACACAGAAAGAGAAATGCCATATGATAACACTCATGTGGAATCTAAAACGTTCTCATAAAAGTAGAGAGTAAGGTGGTGGTTACTACGGGGAGAGGAAGCAGGGGATAGTAAGAGATTGGTCAACAGGTACAAAGCTATAGTTAGATAGGAGGAATAAGTTCTGGTCCTCTGTTGCATAGTGTGTGGTGACTAGAGTTAATATTAATATACATTTTAAAATAGTTAGAAGAAAGGTTTGTTGTTGTTGTTGTTGTTGTTGTTTTTATTGGTGCATAATAGATATACATAGTTCCAGGGTACATATGATAATTTAATATACTCATGTAATTTGTAAAGACCAAATCAGTGTTCTCGAAATACCCATCACCTTAAATATTCGTCTTTTCTTTATGCTGGAAAGAAAAGAGAGTTTTGAATATTCTCATCACAAAGAAATGATAAATGTTTAAGATGATAGATACGTTCGTTTCTCTGATTTGGTCATTACACAATTTTTATATTATCGAAGCATCATGTTCTACACCATAAATTACTATGTGTCAATCACACTTTTTTAAAAAAGAATTTATAATAAGGGATACTGTTCCTATACTGGATTTTCTCCAGGTGCTAGTGTTATTATATTAATAACCCCTGGTTTTCACATATTAACTCTTCCTGGAGTTTAGATAGTGTAACAAACACAAGGAGCTCCCCAGAAAGTCTTTAAGAATAAGGAGGAGCCTGAAAGTAAGGAGTGACTTAACTTGTACTAAAAAATTATTACAGGCCAAGCGCCATGGCTCACACCTGTAATCCCAGCATTTTCGGAGGATCGCTTGACCTCAGGAGTTTGAGACCAGCCTGGGCAACATAGGGAGACCCTATCTCTACAAAAATTACAAAATTAACCATGCTTGGTGGTCCATGCCTGTATTCCCAGTTACTTGGGAAGCTAAGGAGGGAGATCACCTGAGCCCAAGGAAGTTAAGGCTGCAGTGAGCTGAGATTGCACCACTACACTCCAGCCTGGGTGACAGAGGGAGACCCTGTCTCAAAAATATATATATGTTACAAATTGACAGACTATAACAGAATTTTAGATTTATTTATTTATTGTTTTTTTTTTTTTTTTTTTTTTTTGAGATAGAGTCTTGCTCTGTTGCCCAGGCTGGAGTGTAGTGGTGCAATCTCAGCTCACTGCAACCTCCACCTCCCGGGTTCAAGAGATTCTCCTGCCTCAGCCTCCTAAATAGCTGGGATTACAGGCGCCTGCCACCACACCCAGCTCATTTTTATATTTTTAGTAGAGACGGGGTTTCACCACATTGGCCAGGCTTGTCTCAAACTCCTGACCTTGTGATCCACCCACCTCAGACTTCCAAAGTGCTGGGATTACAGGTGTGAGCCATTGCACCTGGCCAGAATTTCAGATTTTTTTGAAAGCAAAGTGGTATTATTTTAACATCCTTAAAATACTTAGCGTTTGCCTTCTATGTGTTTGTGACTGAGATCTGAAAATGTAATACTTTTCATAAGAAAGGTCGCAGAAATAATATATGTCAGCATTTTAAGAAGGGGTATGATTCGTTTTCTATAATGCTAATCATGTAAAACGAGAATCTCAGTGAAGTGACACATAATAAAAATCTTAAAATTTCTCATATCCTGGCTGGGCACGGTGGCTCAAGCCTGTAATCCCAGCACTTTGGGAGGCCGAGACGGGCAGATCACGAGGTCAGGAGATCGAGACCATCCTGGCTAACACGGTGAAACCCCGTCTCTACTAAAAAATACAAAAAAACTAGCCGGACGAGGTGGCGGGCGCCTGTAGTCCCGGCTACTCGGGAGGCTGAGGAAAGAGAATGGCCTAAACCCGGGAGACGGAGCTTGCAGTGAGCTGAGATCCGGCCACTGCACTCCAGCCTGGGCGACAGAGCGAGACTTTGTCTCAAAAAAAAAAAAAATTCATATCCTTTTATCACAGTAAGACAAATGTTTGTTAAGAAGGAAGGAAACTAAGAAAGTAGGCGAGGTCCTAGGTGAGCCCAAGGCACAAGGCAGATGCAGAAGATCCTCATGTCTTTGTGTCTTTGATCACCCAAATAATGTTGCAGTAATAATGGTTGAGACAAAAAGAGGTATCATGTTAAGTGAACTAAAAATTCTGTTAGCGGCTGAGCGCAGTGGCTCACGCCTGTAATCCCAGCGCTTTGGGAGGCTGAGGCAGGCAGATCACGAGGTCAGGAATTTGAGACCAGCCTGATCAACATGGTGAAACCCTGTCTCTACTAAAAATAAAAAAAGTTAGCCGAGTGTGGTGGTGCGCACCCATAGTCCCAGCTACTCAGGAGGCTGAGGCAGAAGAATCGCTTGAACCCGGGAGGTGGAGGTTGCAGTGAGCCAAGATCGAGCCACTGCACTCCAGCCTGGGCGACAGAGCTAGACTTCATCTCAAAAAAAAAAAAAAAAATTTCTGTTAGCCTCTTAACCATACTAGTCATCCTCAGTAATTGCGATGTTACCCCAGGGACCCAGATGGTCCTCTGGGTTCCCTGGGCTCTTGAGTATATCAACAACATTCACATTTAGGAGGATTGCAACTGCTTCATTTTGTGCTGACTGCTGTAATCCTGTATGTATATTTCTATAATAAGATATGACCATCAGTTGTCTTAAGGTCTAATGAAGTGTCTCAAATATGTGTATATTTTAGACATATTAAATAGCACTACCTTTGGCTTAGCAGGTTTTTCAGATTTGTACATTATTGAGCAAATGTTATTGTGTATTCTAATTATTGTTCATTATCAATTAATTATTGTTAATGTTTCTGAAAATGAATGGTAGCTTAAGCTGTTTTGCTAGAATATTCGACCTGAGAGTTTTGGTATACTTTTTCCTGTGAAATATTATGGTTTGTACTTAGTTGAAGAAACAGAGTGTAAGCAATTTACTTACCTTTGGGGGCAGGATGTTGAAAAAGAGCTGGAGATGCAGATCAGCATGAGGCAGGAGATGGAATTGGCTATGAAGATGCTGGAGAAGGATGTCTGTGAGAAGCAGGATGCCCTGGTATCTCTTCGGCAGCAGCTGGATGACCTCAGAGCTCTCAAGCACGAACTTGCCTTTAAGTTGCAGGTAGGGGAAGTATGAGGAATAGACTCACTGGCTTTCTAAAATCCTGGGGCTCCCCTTCTTCCATCTTATCCTCCAGAATCACACTTTAATTACAAGAGGAAATAATCACATCTCATTTTAATGCTAGCTGCCAATAAACTACTTTCAGAATCAGACCGTCATGGGATCCTGTATGGCTGTTATAGAAAACCATGACCACTTTTCACATTATAATAGAGGGTGAGGGTCTTTTTTATCTTATAGTATAATTTCTATTCTGCAGTCTACTATGCCAGCTGAGTTACATATTCTATTAGCTTTTACACTGGAAAGTGATACATTGATGAACTATTACTGTGATAACCCTGCAAATAACAGTACTAACTTTAGATAAATTGCTTTTTTTTCCATTTGAGGATTAACTGATATCGAAATATATGAACATTTCTGTTTTCCCACTTACCATTAGATTCAAAAGGCATGTGTGGTTGTAATTTTAGGATTTATGTTATACAGGTTGTTTATCATTATTTTCCATAACAGAGTTCAGACTTAGGAGTAAAACAGAAAAGTGAACTAAACAGTCGCTTGGAAGAGAAGACTAATCAGATGGCTGCTACCATTAAACAACTTGAACAAAGGTAAAAGTCCTGGTTCTTTAATGAAACACTTTGGGTTGTCCGTGCTGATAGTGAAGAGAATGTGCTGTACATTTGCAAATAGAAAATATATGAAATTCTTCCAAATTAGCATAAGACATTCTGGTAGAAAAAAAAGCCAATTAAATATTATGTGTGTTTTCTAAGGTATGACTGAAATGTTTTTAGGAAATGTCAGTTACTTGACTAGCCTTAAAAAACAAAAAAAAAAAAAAGGAAAGGTCAGCCTTTGATAACTGTTTTGAACATCAGAACTCTTAACCCTTATCAGAATCATGTGTTAAGGGAAGGATACTTAAAAGCATGAAAGGACTCTTAAATATATGTATGTAATTCTGTGATTTTATTGTTCATCACTAAAGTCTTTGAATACTTGGATGCTGGGGTATATAGAGGCAGTGAGAGATAGGTGTCCTCCAAGGATCTATTCTGGGTCTTTCCCTTCTTTAACCCTTTTCTCTTTATCTCCCTTTTCTTTCTCCTGGGTAGTTCTGTAGCTTCCACTGTCACCTCCAGTGTGCTTCCCCAGCTTTTACCTTCATCTGGAGACCAGTCTTGAGTTTTCATCCTTTGGGCAGCTATCTTTCACCAGTATCTACAATTTAGTCTGCCCAAAGCACATCTTCTTCCTATGCTACTCTCTTTCTCTGTTTGTGTGAAACCACCATTTTCTGTCTGGCAGCTCAGCAGCCAAGAGAAATGGCTGAGTCTTCAAGATTGAATGTGGCATGGCACCCAAGGTCATTTGATGTTTCTACCTTCAACACCTGTTCGTCACCCTTCTTGCACTTGAGCAAAACTAAACTACTGGTCCCTGGACGTACTTCCCAGTTTTCTCGTTCATTTCTTTCCCAATAGTTCCACCAATTAGAAATGTCCTAATTCTTCCCACTCCCTTATTCTTCATTTTTAAGTTTAGGCTCAAATGCCACCTCCCCAAAGTTTCCTCTGATACCTCTTTGCAGCTAGAAATGATCTGTCTTTCTGGGAATTCCCATAGCTTCATATTCATATTTATCTATACTGTTTATGGCTCTTCTCACTGTCTACTTTACCTTTTAACCCTTTATATATGTGTCCTCCGATGCGAGCATAAGCTCCCTGAGATTAGTTAACTAATCTTTTGAGTTCCCTCATTAGATCTGTCACAGTGCTTTGAATATATAAGCATTCATTCAGTAGATATATGAATGAATGGATTAATGGGTGACTTCTTATATTCAGATGATTCTTAACTAGTAAGGGTCCTGAACAGCAATGCATATTAATGTTTACTCAAAACTTAATGGCAAATTTGTAAATAAGCCTGAAACCTCTTATATAGCCAAATAAAAATGTATCAGTCTTACCTAGGAAAGACGGTTATATACTTGCTCATACATAGTTATATGTTTATGATTTAACAAAATGATTTTACTGTTCATAAATTGTGCTTTTGAAGTGAAATGTATCAAATTCATTTTCAATGATGCTTTGACTTGGAATTTAAAGCAAACAGAAAGAAAAAATGACATCTCTTTGAATATTAAGCTGACCTATTCTCTTGCTATTTTTGTGTTTCCTGTTTATCCATTTTCTCATTCCCCTTTCACTTCATTGTCATTTTTATTTTATTTAGTGAAAAGGATTTGGTGAAACAGGCAAAGACCTTAAATAGTGCAGCAAATAAACTGATCCCAAAACATCATTAGGCATTTTTCAGTTGGCACGTTGCAAGTCTGATATCACAACTTCATTGTAAAAGGAAGAAATCTGAAAGCTATTACATTTAAGCTCTGATTCTCTCTAAAATGTCACCAAAAAGTTGACTTTGAATTTGTTGGACTTTTGAAAAACCATTTGGAAATGTAGGTTGGGTGTTTTTCGTATTGTTTTCTCCCCAGGGTTAGAAAAATTGGTATAAGTTCCTAACTAAAAGCTGAGTAAACTTTGAGAAATTATTTCTGAGTTGACCAATAAATAAAAATACCACTTTTTTGAAAAAGCCTAGGGAATTGAAGCTCTGTACATATATTAATGATGCCTTTACAACCCAATCGTTGATAATATCAGATTCTCGGTGCATTGTTCATGTCTGTATCTGCAAGCCTGTTCTGCCATTGCAGTGTAATGAACTAGAGGTAACTACCACATGAACTCAGACTCTTCTAAAATAGTTCTGTGTCTCTTAGACCATGACCCCTTTTCACTTTTGTTATGTAGGTTTAATCCCCAAGACAAGGATAGTACTTAGTATTTCACTTTCACTACACTTCTATTCTCAGTAACCAAGATTGCTTGCAACTTTTTTTGCCTTAGTGACTTTTGAAAAAAAAAAAAAGAAAAAACAGCATCCTTATATTTCTTTAAAATATATAGAGATGAAGTTAGTAATTAGGTAACTTATGATAACATAATAATGTGGACACTTGGGGAAACCCTCCTTATGTTTGTCATCTTCTACCTCTGCCATTTTCCTGCAGTTCTGCTTCCTACTTAGGCAGTTCAGAGAGAATGATTCTAATAGAAACATTCCTCTCGTATTAAAAAAATGATGCAGTACCCATTTTTCATATCCTGCTTTTCTTATTGGAATAAAAAGGACAGGGTATAGACATGAATGTTGATATTCTGCCTGGCCTGTCATTTCTTACCTGGAAACATTTACTTAAAAGTTTCTGTTACTTTTTGTTCAGATGGAGGTTTGCTAAAGGTTCTGGGAAGCTAATAATTGAATTATTAGAAAAACATTTCAGAATAGGAAATAAATGATAAACTTATTCTTTATTATTATTTAGTACAAAAATACAGATTCCCAGTAGATATCCACAAGCAATATTAGCAGGGCTTCTATTTATAAGTGACCACAGACTAACCCTCTCTAGGCTTTAACATTGTAAATAATCCTATAAATACTTTAATTTTTAAGATGATTTTTGATTTGAAGAGATGGGCTTTACATAAGCCTTCATTCCTTCAAAAGGTCCTAACAAAATATTTGGGTTTTTTTCTCTCTTTTTTTTTCCTTCTGGTATGCTTTGCAGCATTTCAGCTGCTTAGGTGGGGACACAGATAACCCCTTCGCTTCCAGCTCTTAAAATTCTTTATCTTTTTCTTGGCAAAACCAGAATTAAGAGTGTACGATGGATTCCATGTGTGCTTATATAGGTCCCTGCACAGATTGGACTTGAACCAAAATCAAGTCAAAGAACATATGTTTAAACCAACTTCATGGAAGTGGAAGATCCTGTGCTCTTGAACTTATTTTAATTCTTATAATTTGCACCTATATAAACAAAGCTCCTACTATATTCTTCTCTTCATCATCCTTTTGTGGTGATGGGTTGCCTTTTCTATGAGCATTTGGAAGGAGTGATCAAATACCAAAATTAAACTTTCTAAAACCTACACATAGCATGCTTCTAAATTCTATTATATAAAGCCCCAAGTGTTTTACCTTCTAAAACATGCTTCTGTATAGGTGCAAAGTTATAAGATATTTAGAAGAAAACATCCATCAGAATCTTCTAGAGAATATGGTCAGAGTCTTAAACAGGCCCAGTACTGAGTTCTTTGTCCACTTAGTCACACATCTTTTGTGGGAATGGGAAAGGAAGGAGACAGCCAAATTCTGACAAAGGCTTTTCCTTATAGAATAACCCAAAGCCTGGGTGAGGGTTGATATATAATGTCCCATGATTTAATATATGTGGTTTGGGGGAAAGGACAAGAAAAAAACTATAATTCCACATATAAGAAGGTAGTTGCCCGTTTACAAGTTCCAGTTATGTGTGTAAAACAGAAAAATTAAGTACCAAACCTATTAGGAAATTTTTTTAAAAAGTGGATTTAACTTAAATTACTGTGTACTTGAGGTTGGCTTTGGATATGGATTTTCTAAAAAGTGATGTTTTATTGTTTATCATCTAATGGCTGTAAACTGTAGTACTAGAATAAAAAAAAAAATGGAAAATCAGCTTTTCCTCTGCCTGGTTCACCTTCATCTTACTTTTCTTTAGAATTTGTTTCTTTTCCATCTTCTCCCCCTCATAATTTATTTGCCTGTGTCCTGCAAAGTTTTTTTACTCTCTCTGTCTCTCTGTGCATTCTTCCTTGGGTTATTTTATGTTGTGTTGTGAACTTGGTCTTTCTCCCCACCATGGCTTTTGTTTTTTATCACAAGTTCATGTGGCTCACATCCAGATTGCGCCAGGCTGAGCGAAGCCGCCAGTCTGCTGAGTTGGACAACCGGCTCTTCAAACAGGACTTTGGAGACAAGATCAACAGTCTGCAGCTGGAAGTCGAGGAGCTCACCAGGCAGCGGTGAAGAGGGGGCAGCTTGAGCCGACAGGGTGGTCATGGGTATTTCTTAGGGTAGACAGCAAGAAGAGGGGTCTCATGACTTACAGCCAGGTTGGCTCTGTCTTTGCAATGTCCCTTCTCTGGAATTGGAATTCAGAAAGCTTCACGTACTTCAACATTCCCCAAATCCGATCAACATGCTTTGTGATCAAAGAATTAGAAACTTAGGCCGGGCGCGGTGGCTCAAGCCTGTAATCCCAGCACTTTGGGAGGCCGAGACGGGCAGATCACGAGGTCAGGAGATCGAGACCATCCTGGCGAACACAGTGAAACCCCGTCTCTACTAAAAATACAAAAAAAAACTCTAGCCGTGCACGTGCGGGCGCCTGTATCCCAGCCTACTCGGGGAGGCGCCTGAGTCAGGTTAGAATGGGCGTAAAGCCAACGGGGAGGTCGGAAGCTATGTAAGTGAGCGAGATCCGGCCCACGTGCACCTGGGTTGACAGACGAAGACTACAATTTCCGTCCACAAAAATAATGAAATAAAAGAAACTTAGAGCCCAAGATCCCAGATAAATAGTAATTATTAGCCAAAATAACACTAATAATAATATATAATATTTCCTGAATTCTTACTGTGTGCCAGATACTTTACAAAGCACTTCACATGCAAACTCTCATAATATCTTCATATCAACCCTATTAGCAATATTATTGCCTCCACTTTCAGATTAAAGTAGAGCTTAAGGCTGGGCGCAGTGGCTCCTGCCTGTAATCCCAGCACTTTGGGAGGCCAAGGCAGGTGTATCACCTGAGGTCAGGAGTTCCAGACCAGCCTGGCCAAGATGGTGAAACCCCATCTCTACTAAAAATATAAAAATTCGCCAGACATGGTGGTGGGTACCGGTAATCCCAGCTACTCAGGAGGCTGAGGCAGAAGAATTGCTTGAACCTGGAAAACGGAGGTTACAGTGACCGGAGATCATGCCACTGCACTCCAGCCTGGGCGACAGAACAAGACTCCATCTCAAAAAAAAGTAGAGATTAGAGATGTTAAATGTGTCCAGATTCACATAGTTAAGCTTAGAAGTGGCAACATTATCATTTAAAAACCTGTCTCTCTGACAACAAGCCCTTACCCATTTTTAATTACTGCACTTTAAAACAAGGGGTTGGCATTCTTTAGAGAATATGTCTGTATAGAATTCCAATTTTTCATCCTTTTCCTCTCCAACTTACTCAGGAACCAGCTTGAGTTAGAACTAAAACAGGAAAAAGAAAGAAGATTACAAAACGACAGGAGCATCCCAGGAAGGGGTTCCCAGAAGCCAGAATCCAAGATGGTAATATTTGCTATTCCCTTGTTCTTTTACTTAATTTCAGTTTAAATTTTAGAGGCTACCTTGATAGGCCTGTCAGTTTTCCTTTACAGATCACATACTTAGTGACTGTGTCCTTAAGTATATGGATAGCAAACCAGTAATTGTGTGAACAGATGAAAGCTTGATTCTGGGTCTGCCTCTAGGATACTTTCTCTAACTTGATTTCATTTGGAAAGGGGGATTTTAATAATCACAGGGACCCTGTTTCCCTTTTAATAATTTTTTAAGTAAGATTATTTTGATGTCTTAACAAAAATATATGTTTCTTGGATTTCTGCTAAATAATGATTTTAATAAAATAGTATAATAATCCCTCTCCAACCCTGAAGTCCCCTTTAACAGAATTTTCCACAATATGGATTTGCTTCTGTATATCTTTTTCAAATCATGAGGATTTCACTTTGAGTATCCTTAAGGAACTTCTCATGGGAATAATTAGAGCGGGAACTAGACTTGAGGAAGGGAAGGTAATATAGAATAAAGAGCAAAAGTAGAAATTTCCACATAATAATCTTAGAAGGAGAGATCTACAGTGGTGAAGGAGCTAAAATTGGGTAAAAGCATCTCTGGGGCCCAGGAAATAATGAAATCAGAAAAACATGAAATAACTTTTTATGTGACAGACAAACAGTGAAAAAATTGCCTCCTGTGTATACTTACTATTCAAGGGGACTTCAAAAAGATCTTGGGAAATGGAATTAAAAGGTAAAAATGTATAAACTTTATTTCTCAGCCTAAGTTCCATCAAGGTCAAGAGACTTTTGTAAGTGATGATACCAGTCATGTAGGCCATCCCTGAAGAACTGAGGCTCCTAGGAATTGAACCATATCAATATAATCTTTTCACATTATTAACTGAAGAAAAATTGGTGCCCTTTAATGATGTTTTAAGATTAGGAAACAGAAATCAGAAGAGCCAACTCAGGACTGTAAAGTGGTTGCCTAATGATTTCCCATCGTAACTCACAGAATTGCCCTTGTTTGATGAGAGGAATGAGTTAGGAGCATATTTCTAGTGGGATAGGACTCTCTGTTGAAGCTTTCCTGGGCATTTTTATGCTAAAGCGTTGGCTAACTTTCTCAAAACAGACTCACAAGTATTAGCCGAGTGTGGTGGCATGTGCCTCCAGTCTCTAGTCCCAGCTACTTGGGAGGTTGAGGCATGAGAATCACTTGAACCTGGAAGGTGGAGGTCGCAGTGAGCCACGATCACACCACTGCACTCCAGCCTGGGTGACAGAGCAAGACTCTGTCTCAAAAAATAAAAAAAAAAAATTAAAAACACTCTCACAATAAGCAGATGTTGGCATTCTCTGGCCTTCCAGAAAGTCAACAAGCAAAGTGCCTTCAGCATCCCTAAAAACTGTTGCCATGACCTTTGCTCTTGACCTGTCTGCTTTTGCTTTTATTGCACCACTTCCACCTCTTCATAGCCATTGCTTTGATTGTGCTTTGTCTTCAGGATTGTACTATGAAGTTGTTACATCTCCTGTTATAATTTCTCAAACAAATGCTTCAGGTTCTTGATCCCACTTGTTTATAATTCCATTGAAAGCTATACTTTTGTCTGCAGCTGATATGGGCACAACAGTTTTGGCACCCATCAAGTAGAAAGTTTACTCGACTTTAATTTTTCAGCCAGAATTGTATAAGCCGAACCAATTGAGATATCTGTGGTATTGGCTGTTGTTTCTACTGTTAATCGTTGTTCCTCTTTAATTAGAGCATGAATAAGATCCTCACAAATTGATGTGGATAGTCTGCTACTGCAGACTTCATCTTCAACATCATCTGGCCCCTTCTTAAAATGAGTTATCGTTTTGTAAACTGCTGATTTCTTTGGGGCATTGTCCCCAAAAGCTTTTTGTAAAGCATCAGTAATTTCACAATTCTTCCATCCATGCTTCACCATGAATTTGATGTTTGTTCTTGCTTCAATTTTAGCAGAATTCATGTTACTCTGATAGGGGCTCTTCCTTTTTTCTTTTCCTTTCTTTTTTTTTTTTTTTTTAAGACAGAGTCTCACTCTCACCTAGAACAGAGTACAGTAGCACGATCATGCCTCACTGCAGCCTCGATTTCCCAGGCTCAGGTGATACTCCCGCCTCAGCCTCCCGAGCAGCTGGGACTATAGGCACACACCACAACGCTCAGCTAATTTTTGTATTTTTTTGGTAGAGTTGGGGTCTTGCCATGTTGTCTAGGCTGGTCTTGAACTCCTGGGCTCAAGCGATATGCCCACCTCAGCCTCCCAAAGTGCTAGAATGACAGGCACAAGCCACCATGCCCAGCCAGGGGTTCTTTTCAAACTGATATCTTATCCTTTTTAGTGACTCAAACCAAATCCTGGTCAGATATATTAAAATAAGTTAGTACAAGTTTTTTTTGCTGCAAAAAAATTTTTGAAGTCCATGCACAGTCTTTTTGTAATATGCATTTTCCATGAACTTTTTGAATACCTCTAGTATACAACAAAGCAGGAAGAGTTCATAAACTATTTAAAATTTCTAGAGAGTGAGCTGCTAATTTACTGGCAAGTAGAAAACGATGGTATGTGGAAATTTATTAAATAGTATCACTACTAATAATTTAAAGTGTACAAAGAACCACTCTAGGCCAGGCACAGTGGCTCACACCTGTAATCCCAGCACTTTGGGAGGCCGATGTGGGCAGATCACGAGGTCAGGAGTTCAAGACCAGCCTGGCCGACATGGTGAAACCCCATCTCTACTAAAAATACAAAAATTAGCTAGGCGTGGTGGTGGGCTCCTGTAATCCCAGCTACTCGGGAGGCTGAGGCAGGAGAATTAGTTGAACCTGGGAGGCGGAGGGTGCAGTGAGCCAAGACCATGCCATTGTACTCTAGCCTGGGCGACAGAGCGAGACTCCATCTCAAAAATAAATAAATAAATATAATTAAAATAACCACTCTCTGTAGCATGCTATCTTTATTATTTTAATTTAGTGAACATAAAATCTAAAAGGCTTACAAGAGTTTACTTAAAATCTTGACCTATCTCACCCTATTTTTCAAGTGAGGTTTTAAGTTTTTCAATCTCCAGTTATTACTTGCAGTGGCATTTCCAGGAGGATAAGTATTGACCTCTCTTCCTTGATACTTGAGTGGTGTAAGAACACACGTTTCAGCTGGGTGGCTCACACCTGTAATCCTAGCACTTTGGGAGGCCGTTGGCATGAAGATTGCTTGATCCCAGGAGTAAGAGACTAGCCTGGGCAACATAGGGAGACCTCATCTCTACAAAAAAATTTAAAAATTACCCAGGTGTGGTGGCTCGTGCCTATAGTCCTAGTTGCTCAGGAGGCTGAGGTGGGAGGATCACTTGAGCCCAGGAGGTCGAGGCTGCAGTGAGCTGTGATCATGCCACTGCACTCCAGCCTGGGCAACAGCATGAGACCTTGTCTCAAAAAACAAACAAAAAGAATACACATTCCACTTTTGGATGCACATAGGCAACAGTTGAAGGCAAGCAGCAGTGGGTGTGTGTGCCACAGAAAAAAATGTACCCCTAAAAACTGCCCAGCACCTGGCCAGGCTCTGTGGCTTACGCCTGTAATCCCAGCACTTTGTGAGGCCAAGGTGGGTGGATTGCCTGAGCTCAGGAGTTTGAGACCAGCCTGGACAACATGGTGAAACCCCATCTCTACTAAAATGCAAAGAAGTATTCGGGCCTGGCAGCTGTACCTGTAATCCCAGCTACTCCTGACGCTGAGGCCAGAGAATCGCTTGAAACCAGGAGGAAGAGGTTGCAGTGAGCCAAGATCACACCACAGCACTCCAGCCTGGGTGCCAGACTGAGACTCCGTCTCCAAAACAAACAAAAGTTGCCCAGGCAGAGCCTAAGAGTATTGGTAGAAAAACAGTTTGAGGCTGGGTGCAGTGGCTCACGCCTGTAATCCCAGCACTTTGGGAAGCCAAGGCGGGCGGACTACCTGGATTGGGAGTTCAAGACCATCCTGGCCAACATGGTGAAACCCCGTCTCTATTAAAATACAAAAATTAGCCAGGGGTGGTGGTGGGCGCCTATAATCCCAGCTACTCACGTGCTGAGGCAGGAGAATCGCGTGAGCCGAGATCACGCCACTGCACTCCAGCCTGGGCGACAGAGCAAGACTCCGTCTCAAAAACAAAAAAAGAAAGAAATGCAGTTTGAAACTTTACATCTGTCCTGCCAAGTAGAAAACTGCTTGAGTTGAACAGGCTATAGAGATGGTGGCACTGGGTGGTTCATGCCTGTAATCCCAACACTTTGTGAGGCCAAGACGGATGGATCACTTGAGGTCAGGACTTTGAGACCAGCCTGGCCAACATGGTGAAACCCCGTCTCTACTAAAAATACAAAAATTAGCTGGGCATGGTGGCAGCTGCCTGTAATCCCAGCTACTCGGGAGGCTGAGGCACAAGAATAATTTGAACCCGGGCGGATCACTTGAGGTGAAGAGTTCGAGACCAGCCTGGCCAACATGGTGAAACCTCGTCTTCACTAAAAATACAAAAATTAGCTAGGCATGGTGGTGCACACCTATAATCCCAGCTACTCAGGAGGCTGAGGCACAAGAATCACTTGAACCTGGGAGGCAGAGGTTGCAGTGAGACGAGATGGCACCACTGTACTCCAGCCTGGGTGACAAGAGCGAGATCCTGTCTCGGGAAAAAAAGAAAGTTGTGGCCCTGGGGCATCAACTTGATTGAACATCCAGAGGAGTATAGTCTGATGGATATGGCCATCCTTGGTTTTACCAGTTTTTCAGAGCTCAGTCTGGGGGAAAGAAAAAAAAAATTATACTTCCTCTAAGAAGTAACTGATATCTTGAGCCAACTTTGCAAGTAAATAGAATACATTCTGAATTTTATTTGAATCTCAAGAATTAAAATATCTACTTTGAAAATCATTTGTCACAAACTATCAGAATAGTTAAGAAACTACTTAGAGCAAAGAATGAGGAAACATAGCTTGAAAGTTAGATCCCTTCCCTGATAAAAAAAAAAAAGTTACTTAGCTTTATACCCAAACTAAGGTATTGCAGAAGAAAATATGTGCAATATCATCGTTGTTTAGCATTCTGAATAATTAATAAATTGGGCTGTTTTCTTTTGGCAGGATGGGAAGCACAACATGCAAGAGGAAAATGTTAAACTAAAAAAGCCCCTGGAAGAAAGCCACAGGTGTTTGTTAATCAAGTATTAACTAAGATGTAAAGTTATTCTGGGGTGGTGGGAAGGGGGGAGTTTTTTATATACATAGGCATTGACACCGACCAGACACTGACTTATAATATTAATATGCCAGGAAGACATTCGAAGTGGAAGTTAGTAAATAATAAACCATATAACATGTATTAAACCAAACCCATTAGGCCATTTCAGAGGAAAGGATGATCAAGCTGTCCTCTCTCTCTTCCCTGATTAATTCCCAAGCTCAAATGATCACTTAAGAGGTTATTTCCCACCTTTACTGAATTGGTTTCCCAGGAGAATAAAGTATAAGTCATACATAGCATTTCTTAGCTTCTTAAATATATTTGAGTATGACTTGTTTCTACCTATGTGCTAAATTTCAAATAAGTGGCTGGGCGCAGTGGCTCATGCCCATAATCCCAGCACTTTGGGAGGCCGAGACAGGTGGATCACCTGAGATCAGAAGTTCAAGACCAGCCTGGCCAACATGGTGAAACCCCGTCTCTACTAAAGATACAAAATTAGTCGGGTCTGGTGGTACCTGCCTGTAATCCCAACTACTTGGGAGGCCGAGGCAGGAGAATTACTTGAACCCAGGAGGCAGAGGTTGCAGTGAGCCAAGATAGCGCCACTGCACTCCAGCCTGGGCAATAGAGTGAGACTCCGTCTCAAAAAAATAAAAAAAATAAATAAGTACTCTGATTTCTCTTACCTCTCATCTCTCATTTTTTCTTTCTCTTGAGAATCTCAAACAGTTTAACTCTATTCCTTTTTCCTAACTCTATCTGATTTGCTCACGATGAAGAGCATAGGATAGTTTCAAGGAAGCTGACTTTTTGTAGTTATTTTACCAGGTTAGAAATATAATTAAATATTACATAGTGCCACTGCATTAAAAAGTGAAGGAGGTCCAGTTATATGACATTCTGGAAAAGACAAAACTATGGAGACAATTAAAAAAAAAATCAGTGGTTGCCAGTGGTAAGGGAAGGGAGGAATGAACAGGTGGAGCACAGAGGATATTTAGGGCAGTGGACTACTCTGTATGATACTGTGATGGTGGGTACATGTCATTATACATTTGACCACACCATAGACTATAGACACCACCAAGAGTGAACCTTAATGTGAACTGTAGACTCTGGGTGATGATGTTGTGTCAGTGTAGGTTCATCAGTTGTAACAAATGTACCACTCTGGTGCAGCATGTTGATAAAGAGACCAGGGATGGGGCAGGAGGCATGTGGGAAGTCTCTGTACCTTCTACTCAATTTGGCTGTGAATCTAACTGCTCTAAACATAAAGGTCTACTTTAAAAGGTGGAGGAAGCAGTTAGTGATGAGGAAGGATACCATAGTGGGGTTTTGAGAGAACTATACAGCTGTCCCTAGCCAGGCTGTGTCACCTTAAGAATGAGGTAGTGGCCAGGCGCGGTGGCTCACACCTGTAATCCCAACACTTTGGGAGGCCGAGGCGGGCGGATCACGAGGTCAGGAGATCGAAATTATCCTGGCTAACATGGTGAAACCCCATCTCTGCTAAAAATACAAAAAATTAGCCGAACGTGGTGGAGGGGGTGCGCCTGTAGTTCCAGCTACTCGGGAGGCTGAGACAGGAGAATGGCGTGAACCCAGGAGGTGGAACTTGCAGTGAGCCGAGATCGCGCCACTGCACTCCACCCTGGGCAATCAGCAAGACTCCATCTCAAAAAAAAAAAAAAAAAAAGAATGAGGTAGTGTGTCATCTGGAGCAAAAGTAGCTGCTGGAGAAGAGAAATTACACAGTCCAGTTTGCAGGTGCTTGGCCTAAATGCCCATTTCTTGCCTTAAAGGCCAGAATGATTCCAAAGTCTTTAATTTTGCTCCCAAAGAGCATGGTTTGATCCAGAGCTAACCTTAAACTGTCACCCATCTCACATTACAGATCGGCATAAGCAAAGAGAAGGGAACTAGAAGGGCCATAAAATTAACCTGGGCTTCCAGGTGCCTTTCAGGGTCAGCCTCTTTCCAAACTAACATCAAGTCATTTACTTGAGCAATCAGGAGTGTCTATTAAATGCCAACTTCTGATTTAGGTCCTGAGAATATAGAATAGTGCTTCCTTTTATCTGAATTGAATTGTGCTCTGCAACTTAGAATTTGTTTTACATTCATTATCTCCTTATGATTTAATATTCCTTACAAAACTGTCTAATGCAACTTTACAGATGAGAAAACTGAGACGCACAGAGAGGCTGAGTGACTTATCCAAGTTGCTTCTGTTTATCATGTCTACTGTTTTTAAGTGCTTTGGCTCTGCACTACCTATTAGCAACTTCCAGGACTTATTCTGGTCATAGCTGCAATCGTTAGACATACCAGGCTTCCTGGGATTATGATGGCAAGGAACATCAGAAAATCTGGTCACCCCATGGTGTATGTCTGGTGGTCACACTGCTACTCAAGTGAAAAGAATAGGAACCATTGCAATCTGTAGTGCATTTTCCCTGTAACCAAGAGCGGGCTTTGCTTCACCTCTCATTTAGGCTCTAGTCCGTGCTGGGAACATCAGAGTTAGCTCAGCTTAGTCTCATGAAGAAATATTTCAACCTGAATAGGTTTTCTGGTGACAGTCTCATTCATTTCCCCTTCTTGGATTAATTTGCTAAAGCTCACATCTTAAGAATATTTAGGACTAATATATAACATGCGATAATGGATAATGTATAGATTTCCATAATATCAGAAAAAAAGCTACTAAAATATATGGCCAGTGAACCATTGGAGTTTTACACATTGGGAAGTTTTACACATTGGAGATTTACACATTGGGAATATTTTGGTAGCAAAAAGGAATGTAAAATATAACTTCATCTGTTTTTAAATGGGAACCCTAATATAATAAGTCAATGGTCAGATTCTAGTGATTCATTTTAAGAAGCAAAATTTCCTCTCCTTGGAGGTCAAAATTAATAATTATGTTGTTCTTAGTAATATAAAAGACCTACAGTATTTCTTGTTTGAAAAAATGTTTGTATTCTGAGCTTTTTATTGAAATGATAGAAATGGAAATATAAAGTTCCTATTTGTCACGATTTTTTACTTCTCCATTGTAGGCTGCAACCCCACCCTACGGATGAACAGGTAACACAGCCTCCTGTTTCAAAACATCTTGTATAAATTATGAAGTTGGTTGAACCGTGCCTAGCCAGCAAATAAGGTAGCATGGGCGGAAGATGCGTGAATACAGTGTACCATCCTTCTAACAATACCCTGAACAAATACGTATTGCCTGAAGCTCGCACAGGAAGTAGCACAGCTCTGAACAGTTTACTAAGTAAACATCCGTTCTCACATTTTAAATTATCCCTGACATAAGACCTAGGAGAGTTCACTTTACATCCCTTTCCTCTAGTTTTCTTTTACATAAAATGGAGAGAAAAAAGATGCTTTGATCACTTAGAAATAAGCTAACATAAATGATTATAAAACACTCTGTGAATCTAATAGTTTATGACAAGCCCACGAGAAAGACAGTGAATGCTACTATGTCTGAGTCACCCTGTCATTTACCTCTCAGGTTATAAAATAAAATAAATCCTACTGCTATCCTTTTTTTTTTTTTCTAAATGGAGATAAGGTCTCACTCGTATTGCCCAAGCTGGGATGCAGTGGACGATCTCAACTCACTGCAGCCTCGACTTCCCGAGCTTAGGCAGTCCTCCCACTTCTGCCTCCCGAGTAGCTAGGACTACAGAGATAAGGTTTCATCATGTTGCCCAGGCTGGGCTCAAGTGATCTTCCCACCTTGGCCTCCCGAAGTGCTAGGATTACAGGTGTGAGCTTCCATGCCCAATGCTGCCATTCTTTTTTTTTTTTTTTTTTTTTTTTTGAGACAGAGTTTCACTCTGTCACCCAGTGTGGAGTGTTGTGGCACAATCTCAGCTCACTGCAATCTCCACGTCCCAGGTTCAAGTGATTCCCCTGCCTCAGCCTCCTGAGTAGCTGGGATTACAGGCGCCCATCACCATGTCCAGCTTTGCTTTTTTTTTTTTTTTTGTATTTTTAGTAGAGATGGAGTTTCGCCATGTCAGCCAGGCTGGTCTTGAACTCCTGACCTCGTGATCCACCCACCTTGGCCTCCCAAAGTGCTGGGATTACAGGTGTGAGCCACCAGGCCCAGCCCCCAGTGCTTTCCATTCTTGATGGTAGAGTGAAGCAAGAGGAATGGGATGGTGTTAAAACTTTTTACTCTATACTTGCATGTGTTGGATTTACTTTTTAGAAGTAAAATCACGTTATTATAAAAACTAAGAGCTGGAAGCATAATGATGGGATTCTCCGAGTGGTATTATGGTGGTAGGACTACCTATTTGTAATTGGTTTATTTAGTTTCCAGATAGTCTATAGTGTGATTATATTAATACTGTAGGTAAAAAAGGCATATTCTGAAAGTACTAATATTTCTGGCACTAAGAAAAACTAACCGCTCACTGTGTGGTTTAGGATCAGCTGCTGCTCTCTAGAAAGCCACAGGTGTGTCAGCTATGTCAGGAAGATGGCAGCCTAACAAAGGTAACTGTGGTGAGAAACGGACAGGTTTTTCATAGGAATGTCTACAGCACCCCCCAAGTCCCTCCCCAGGAGTAACAGGGACTTTGCTGCATGGAGTGCAGAGTGCATGCTCACAGTGCTGGGGGTGAGGTGAAAAGCAAAAGGGGCAAGCATTTACTGGGTACGTTATTTTTTCAGTCATAATAATTCATGTCAGTAAATTTCCGTTAAAATAAACATAAATAGCCGCCAGGCGCAGTGACTCATGCCTGTAATCCCAGCACTTTGGAGGGCTGAGGTGGGTGGGTCACAAGGTCAGGAGTTCAAAACCAGCCTGACCAACATGGTGAAACCACATCTCTACTAGAAATACAAAAAAAAAAAAAAAGCCAGGCGTGGTGGCGGGCGCCTGTAATCCCAGCTACTCAGGAGGCTGAGACAGGAGAATCGCTTGAACCTGGGAGGTAGAGGTTGCAGTGAGCCGAGATCGCGCCATTGCACTCCAACCTGGGCAACAGAGCAACCTGTCTAAAAATAAATAAACAAAAAATTATGTAATTTAAAGCAAATAAGCAGATAGAAATGTATAAGTAAATATTGAGTGCCTGCTGTGTAGAATGTGCTGGAGAAAAAGTAATGAACAAAGTAGACCAAGTCTCTGTTCTTTTCAAGCTTATGTCCTTCATAGCTGTCATTTTATAAATGGAGAACGTTGAACATCTAATGCTAACTATATTTCCCAAAGTTAAGTCATAAGTGATGAAGCCCAGGTTCCAACCTAGCTTTAGCTCCAAAGTCCACAGTCCTTTCAGCACTTTATCCTGCTCAGAACAGAATATGAACTCTCCCCGCTAGACCACTTGTTTTCCACCCGATCTTCAAGGGTGTCTGCCTGAGCACCTTCCCAGTTTGTTACTCTAGGGTAGGCAGAGTTAGGGAAGTATTCAGAAAGAACGAGTGCCCTTGATAGCTGGACCTGTGTCTTGTTCACAGAATCCCCCAGCATCTAATATGGTATCCAATCCATAGGAGATGCTCAAGAAAAGTTATGTACAAATGAACGTGTGAAACACGTGCTTGAAGAGATACAGGAAACAGGCTCAAATTCTGGATCACGACCTGCATAGCACCATCTGTGATCGTGCCAAATTTTAACAAATGAAATTATAGTATGACCTACTCTTAAATTCACAGAGTCAGAGAACAGATAAACTGCCCTTATAGAACTGGAAGTTATAATTATAGAAACATGTTACAAAATAGAAGAAACTGTTCATTCTGGCTTTCCTCTTCTAAGCCATGCAACTTTAACTTCTGTGTGTCAGACAGAAATTCTCAGGCTTTCAAATGAAAGCAACCCCCTACTCCTCTCACCCTCAGGAACATGAATTATTTGACATGAAGGTAGCACTTCATGGGAGAAATTATTCTTCACAGCTTTTTATATAGGACGCTTGGAGCTTTGTGTATACCACCCTGTCACAGCCTTACTGCTGACATTGCTATAGTGACTTCTTGCTCTCTCAGTGCTTGACCATTAAAGATGCAAAACGTTTAGGAAAACCAAACAATTTCCTGTGAACAAGATGCAGGAAGCTGTGCTCCTGCTGCACTTATAACCCAGCGGATGTGCTTAGAGCACCAGAGATCACAGGAAAGCATTAAGCACATCAGTGTATTAGGAATTATACTTTCAGTTCGTACTCAGCACCTTTTTTAATCCTAGCCTGTTCACTCAATCCATTGCTCTTTCACTGCCTTATTTGGAGTATGCACAGGTACTTGCAAACTAATTTTAAAACTAACCTACCTCAAAGTGAGTATGGGGAACAGATGTGTGAAGTATATTCTAAATATAAGTGATTTTTATGTTACCTGTTTTTATTTTTAACTCTACGGCACTGCTTCTTTTCATTTAAATCTAAAAACTAGACTGAATGTTTTTGTAGATTGGGCCTGTGTTCAGATACTATCTGGCACATAGTAAACATCCAGTCATTATTTGATTAGGCATGGAGCATTTGCCACATTTGGCTTTTTATATGCCATGAATCCTTATGCCTTACACCTCTTCTATTCCCCGCCTAACCTCCTCTTCTCCTCATAGAATGTGTGTAAGAACTGCAGAGGAACCTTCTGTGATGCCTGTTCAACAAATGAACTGCCTCTTCCTTCAAGTATCAAGCCTGAGCGAGTTTGCAATCCCTGTCACAAGCATCTGATGAAGCAATATTCCACCAGCCCATCATAAGACTGAAGGCCAAGACCTGGACCAAAACGTTTATGCAGGCTCTTCTGTACCGGTGTTTTAGCTGTCAGGATCTCATAGAGCCCAGTTCTTAGAGTCAACTAAAGAGTTGATAGGAATTAACTAGGTCCAGGGAGAAAAGGCAGTGGTTGGGGTTACTGGAAATTTTGCTCATTTTCCCTAATGACTGTATGAATAAACGTGAACTCACTTGAGCCTTTCTCTTCTAAATCTAAACAACCTGACATTGAGGGTTTGCTTTATAGCATATCTTTGGAAGGGCAACTCATTTTTATGATTAGTGATACTGGGGTGGATGTAACAGGAGAGAGTCCAGGCAGATAAGAATAAAAAGGAAAATGATCATCTCCTTCTGTTGCATTTGCAGATTCAAGGGGGAGAGACAGATGCTGAGATCAAAATGACAGATGTTACTTATTTTTCCAGGTGCTGTTAGCATAAACATTGTTTCCTCTTCACCCCTACTAACTACCTCTTTAAAGTATTTCTACCAAACTGTGAACCCAATCTCAGGGAAAAGAAATTAAAAAGTAATATAAATTCTGAATGTACTGAAAACAATATTGTAATATATTATAATTTCAGGACTAGAATTTTCTGGTCTTTACCTACAAGGGTTTTCATTATCAAAAAAAAGAATATTTGTTTTTCTACTTAATGACTTCAAAGTAAATAACTGCCCTTTTCAGAATCTCCTTCCACAAAATAAGCCAACTCTTCCCAGTTCCCGCCATCTTCCTCTCCAAGTCATAATGGGAATTGTAAGGAGTTTTCAAAATAGGGTTTGGCTTTTGCAAATAGAAGATATTGATTAAAGCAAAGTCAAATATAGAGTAAAATAAGTTTGTTTTCTTGAGACAGGGTCTTGTTCTGTTGCCCAAGCTGGAATGCAGTAGTGCAATCACAGCTCACTGAATCCCTGTTCTCCTGGGCCTCAAGCAATCCTCCCACCTTAGCCTCCCAAGTAGCTGGGACTGGCTTTTTTTTTTTTTTTTTTTTTTCAGTGGGGTCTCATTGGTTGCTCAGCCTGGTTTCAAACTCCTGGGCTTAAGCAGCCCTCCCACCTTCACTTCCACAGTGCTGAGATTACAGGCATGAGCCACCACACCTGGCCAAGTTTAATTTGTTGATGGCTGAGAACAGTTAGCTCGGAATACTTACGTTTGAATAAGGAGTTCCTTATTCTGAGTCATGAATGAAAGGTGATAGATGCTTTCTTGGAAAGGGCAGTACAGTCATCCCTTGGTATCCATGGGGGTTTGGTTCCAGGAACCCAACTAGATATCAGAATCCATGGGTGCTCAAGTCCCATTATATAGAATGGGTTATATGGTATTTGCATATAACCTACATACATCCTCCTGTGTACTTTAAATCATCTGAAGATTACTTATACCTAATAAAATACCTACACATCACTTCATTTGCATGGATTCAACATAGTGCTGGGTGTTCGGCAAATTCAAGTTTTGCTTTTTTGGAACTTTGTGGAATTTTTTTCTTCTGAATATTTTTGATTGGCAGTTGGTTGAATCCATGGATGCAGAACCCATGGATATGGACGGCTGACTGTACTTACACATCTTTGAGTAACAAACTCTTTGGGGGAAAAGAGAGAAGTGTATTGAGCAAGAGAAGGCAAGAAACATTATATACTATTTTGATTCTGTTACATGTGTCTATAGATTGTTTCATTCTAATCAAGACCTAAGAAGGTATGATTCTTTCTGTGACTGTTTAGAATTCTGGGGAGGAAATATCCTGGAACCATGTTTTTTAATAAATTCTGTCTCTTGGAAAGAGTTAACAGCTTGGGAAAGAGTTGTTATTCCAAAAGTCAGCCTGTTACTTGGTGAAGCTGAAGTTTAACAGTTCTGGGGAAAAATAAAATCTAATAATTCTAGCCTAGTTTGTTGATTGTCTTTTTTTTACCCTAAATAACATTTGTGTTTTGAGTCTTTATTTTTTGGCCACCTACATGAGCCAGCACTCTTATAGGTGCTACACATAATGTGGAGAACAAAATGGACTAAAGGAGTGTTGCCCTAAATTAGCAAAAGTTATTTTATAATTAATTTTAAATTAATTTGAAAAGATATTTGTAACACATAATATAAGGAGGAATAGTCACTTGAGACTTTACTTAGAATTACACATAAATACTAGCCTTTAAAAAAATTTTTTTAGGCTGGGCACGGTGGCTCACACTTGTAATCCCAGCACTTTGGGAGGTCAAGGCAGGCGGATCACTTGAGGTCAGGAGTTCGAGACCAACCTGGCCAACGTGGTGAAGCCCCGTCTCAACTAAAATAAATAAACTAAATAAATATAAATAAATGCAGAAGTTAGCCAGGCGTGGTGGCGTGCGCCTGTAATCCCAGCTACTGGGGAGGCTGAGGCAGGAGAATCGTTTGAACCCGGGAGGCAGAGGTTACAGTGAGCTGAGATCACGCCACTGCACTTCAGCCTAGGCAACAGAGCAAGATTCCATCTCAAAAAAAAAAAAAATGTATACAGCGTCCCAAAGATCTTTAGTTATTAGTGCAGCCTCCCATAAAAGCAAGGAGACTAAGTCATGAATACCATGACTTAATGGTATGCCTATCTTCCTTTAAAATTGTGCTTTCCATCATTTACAATAGTATAAACTGAACCAAAGAGGCCAAGACTTGTACATTGAAAACTTCAAAATGTTGCCATACAAAATTAAGACATAGAAGTATCACATTTGGCAGGGCACAGTGGCCCACACCTGTAATCCCAGCACTTTGGGAGGCCAAGAAAAAAAAAAAAATGTATATTTTCATGGAGACAAAGACTTAATATTGTTAAGATGTCAATACTACCCAAAGTAATCTACAAATTCAATAGTCCCTATGAAAATCCCAACATTTCTGCAGAAATAGAAAAATCTATCCTAGAGTTCATACAGAATGTCGAGACCCCCCCCCCAAATAATCAAAATAATCTTGAAAAAGAACAAAGTTGGAGGTCTTATACTTCCTGATCTCAAAGTTTAACACAAAACTACAGTAACCAACAGTATGGTACTGGCATAAAAATTAGCATATAAACCAATGGAATAGAAAAAGAGCCTAGAAGTAAATCTTTACACATATGGTCAGATGATTTTTGACAAGGGTGCCAAGGCCATTCAGTGGAGAAAATATGGTCTTTTCAACAAATGGTGTTGGGAAAATTGGATAGCTACATACCAAAAAACAACAACAAAAGTTGGACCCTTACACCATATGCAAATACTAACTTAAAATGCATCAAGAACTAGCTCCATCCACTAAGGTTGGAAGAAAAACAGAGCTAGAATTATTAAATTCTTAAAAAGAAGAAAAAGAATTATTGGCCCCGCGTGGTGGTGCACGCCTGTAATCCAGCACTTAGGGAGGCCAAGGCGGGTGTATCACCTGAGGTCAGGAGTTGGAGACCAGCCTGGCCAATAGGATGAAATCCCATCTCTACTAAAAATATGAAAATTAGCCAGGTGTGGTGGTGGGCACCTGTAATCCCAGCTACTCAAGCGGCTGAGGCAGGAGAATTGCGTGAACCTGGGAGGTGGAAGTTGTAGTGAACTGAGACTGCGCTATTGTACTCCAGCCTAAGCAACAGAGCAAGACCCCGTCTCAAAAAGAAAAAAAATAAATAAAGGAAAAGCTTCATGACATTGGATTTAGCAGTAATTTATTGGGTATGATCAAAAGCACAGCCAACAAAAGGAAAAATAGATTGGACTTCAGCAAAATTAAAAATTTGTGCATCAAGGGACACTATCAGCAGAATGAAAAGGCAACCCAAGGAATGGGAGAAAACATTTGTAAATAAGAAATCCTGCAACAATAAAAAGCCTGAAAAAATGAGCAAAGTACTTGAATAGACACTTCTTGCAAAAAGATGTAGAAATGTCCAATAAGTTCACGAAAAGCTCAACATCAGTAATCACTGGGGAAGTGTACAAATCAAAACCACAATGAGATACCACTTTATAAACCTATTAAGGTGGCTATTATCAAAAAAGTAGAACAAGTGTTGACAAGGACATAGAGAAACTGGAACTCAGGTACACAGTTGGTGGGAATGTAAAATGGTACAGCAGTATGGTGATTTCTGAAAAAAGAAAAAAAAACCAATTGCCATATATAATCCAGCAAACCCATTTCTGGGTATACACCCCAAAGAATTCAAAGCAGGAACTTCTATAGATACTTGTACACCTGTGTTTACAGCCCTATTATTCAAAATAGCCAAAAGGTAGAGACAACCAAGGTGTCCATCAATGGATGAATGGGTAAACAAAATTTAGTATATGCATACGATTGAATATTATTCAACTTTAAGAACAAATTCTGACACATGCTACGATATAGATGAACCTTAAGGACATGAAAAGTGAAATAAGCCAGTCATACGAAGGACAAATATTGTATGACTCCACTTACACTAAGTACCTAGAATAGTCAAAAGCATAAAGAAAGTAAAATGATGGTTCCCAGGGGCTTAAGGAAGAGCAGAATGGGGAGTCAGTGTTTAATAGGTACAGTTTATGTTGGAGGAAGATGAAAAATTCTGGTGACAGATGGTGGTAATGGTTGCACAGCAATGTGAATGCACTTAATGCCACATAAATGTACGCTTAAAAATGGTTAAAACAGCAGGTTTTATGTATATTTTACTAGTTTTTTAAAAAACTGCTTCCCAGAAGAATTCAGAAAGTAATTACAATTATGTGTGTATATTTCAGTTACTACACATGCATATATCTGTTCACTGAGAGAGCCTAGCAGCAGACATGCCAGCAGCAACGGGTACATCCAATGCCCAGATCTTGTTTTCTAATACCGTTCTCCAAGAAAAGGAATCAGGGCTCCCTAGAGAAATGGCTGATTCTCCATCGAGGGTATCTTGTAATGCCAGAAAGTAAAGAAGTGTTCCACAAACAAGGATGTAGGTATGTGAAAGGGGCACGGGAGCCAACTGATAGAATGCCCAAGGGCCAAAGATGAAACAAATCTCAGCAACAAAGTAAATAATGCAGCTTAGGATTATAACCCAAAGGATAAAGTAAGTACCCATGAGTCCATATTGATATAAATGACCTGATGAAGGAGCAGTAGCATCTCTCCTATACAGAAAAAGCCCAAATAATTATGTAGATACCGCCTCCCCCACTTCAAGGAGATGGAGCTTAACTCCCCACCTTTCGAGTACGGATTGTGCTTAGTCACTTGCTTTGAGTACAATATGTAAAGAGGAAAAAAAAAATTGTATAGTAACCTGGCAAACACTATCTTGGCCAGGTGATCAACATTTGTATTAATATCATGAGTGATAAGCCCTATAAATAACAGGTACCCTTGATGTGATGAAAATGCCCCTTTTTGGTCTTCCTCCTAAGACCAGAAGGAAAACAATCAGAAAACTTCACAGACATTCTACAAAACCAACCAGTACTCCTTAACGCTGTCATGGTCATCAAAACCAAGTCTGAGATCCTTCTGTAGTTCATAAGCATGATGGCTGGGCTTTCACACTTCTGTGTTAGATGTGCCTCCTTCACACCTTGTTACATCAGGACATTACCCATCTGATGTGAAAAAAAAAGGTTGGGAATCTGAAGTCATTAAAAACAAAACTATCTGAGGTGGTTAAATGAATGTAATTGTGGGATCCTGGAATGAAAAGAATATTTGGAAAAAAACTAAAGATCTGAACTGTGCGATTTAGTTAACAGTAAAGTATCAAAGTTGGTTGCTTAGTTGTGACAAATGTCCTGTAGTAATGCAGGATACTAACAATAGGTATACAGGTGGGTGAGGTGT